CCTTCAAGATAAGGATGGTAAACTGCTTTGCCCAGGTTTCGATTTTTCTTTCATTCGTTTGTCCGATGATTAGAAGAGAGTAAATTGTGGGCAATGGCCTTCGAATCACAGCAATTATTTGCACAAATCCCTTTTTGTAACTCAATTCATGAGAACCTGCCAACTTCCATTGACTTCCTTATCTTCAACGGAATGTTTGCTTTAGTCGAGAGAAGGTCAGCGGCGTTAAGATGACGTGACACGAGGTAGCGCTGTCACAAAATACCTTCGCATCACAGTCGAACCTTTCCTAGCAACCACTTCTCAGTGGTGGCAGTTTTTTTTACTATATTAGGGGCCTTTCATAAGCGATAACTTCTTTCATGCGATCACCTTTGTAACGATATACCTGTCAACTTTCGTGAAGTCCTGGACGTGACATTTTACCTTCAAAATATGTCGCATAGTACCATATGATAACCGAAAACTTGCTTCCATTTTCGAAGGCGTTCCGAAGAGATCCGAAGCAACCTCCTTTTCAGTTTCTCCATTTTGGACACAGATACTCGTGAGTCAGCATTCTAAATAAACTCAAGAAGGTTCAAGTTTATTGTATTCCTAAACTATAACTGATGCAAATGTTTTAAATCCAGGGCCCAGTTGTGTAAAGGGCGGATAATGATATGCAATAGATAAATCGCTCTCCAACGGATAAGTGATAGAAAAACGTATAGTGTTATCCACCAGATAGAGATTTATCCAGTGAATAGCGTTATCCGAGCTTCGAAAAACCGGGGCTAGATGTGCGCCGTAAGAGATGGTAAACACATCCAGTCATTCGCGAAATTCCAACTAAAAATAAATATTCATTTTTTTAAATCTACGTCCTCTTTGGTGTTGCCATCCTAACTGCTAAAGGTCCCTATTTGATTTGTTGGGAAGAAAACGGAGTTCTATCAGCCACTGACGTCTCCATCGCCTCTCAAATGCACGCTGCCTCAAATCCCAAGCGGTGACCCCAGCAGCCTCCAATGTCTTAGGAGTGGATAATCTCTGACTCGCTTGCGTTCGCCATATCCAATGTTGACATACTTACCAACA